ACCATATCCACAAATAAATCCATCATTAATAGCTCAACCATTTGTTCCCTAGATGTCCTGATCATTGTCAATATCGCTAGTTAGCCCGTTGAGCTTATTTCATTAAACTTTCTTCTTTGTTAAACCCATCAAATTCACATGATGCTTCTTTCCTAAGGACTGGAAAAAATTTTAGAAAAGAGAGAGAGAGAGAAAAAAAGAGAATATAAAAAAAAGAGAAAGAAAAAGGGGAAGAAAGAAGAAAAAAGAAAGGAAAAAGAATCACTTTCATTCAAGATGTCAAATGACATAACTACCCCTAAGACAGCGAAACTCAAATTGTGCTCAATAGGTAGTTGTATCCTATTGGTTATGCATTTGATGAAGAAATGATGGGAGGCCCTCTTTTGGTCAATTCCTTTATCACTTTTTGTTAAACTCTTTTTATTATTCAGTTTGCTAATTATCCCTTTGAGCCTTTGTAGAAACCATTCCTTCAAATAAACCTTCCTAGGAGGCGGATGTCATATGTTTAATGGTGTGTGAATCTCAACAATTTTTGGAAAGAGAAAAAAAAGAAGAAAAAAAATTGGGGCAGGTTTTCAAAAAAAGAAAAAAAAAAGAAAAAATGAGGCATCAAAGAAGAACTAGGGAAACCAATTGCTACAAAGAATGAAGAGAAGAGCAAGCAAGGAAAAAAAATGGGGAAGATATAATGATCAAATCGATGAGATATTGTTCTGGGGTGACATCCGTTCTCAGTTTTTATTTTAACCTTACCCATTTACATTTGTCCTATAATAAAGTCCTCCTTGATCACCCAAGTGCATGACCCATAGTACTTAAAGACATGAAGAGCACTTTGTTCCATTTTGTGATTGCGAGAGTGTTTGATTGAAGAAAAGTAATAGTACAACAGCATAATTTTGACTAAAACCCCATAAATTGATTCAAGCATCTAGTACCCATCATAGTTTAAGATTCTTGAGCCTTTTATCCCTTATTTCAGAACCGTTTCCCTAGGCCACATTTCGTCCTAGTTAGAAGTCCTCCTCGATCCTTGAAAAATTAATAATTAGCACTAGACAGACCTAAATGGGTTGGATAAAAAAAGGGAAAAAAAAGAAGAGAAAAATCAAAAAAAAAATCTCTTCCAAAGAGGTGAAGTGATCAATCATTTGAAGTGCGGCAAGAGTATTAGTCAGCCTAGTTTGAGCAAATTTAGTTATCTCATTTGTGCAAAATTGAGCAGTTATCTCATTTGTGAATTATCATTTTTAATTGGTCCAAACTGGGGCTGCCCCCTTCAAATGTGTGTTTCTTGATATGAATATTTGATCAGCAATCATTGCATATCCAATGTTTATGTCTTTCAAATTTGAAATGTGTTGATCAATCCATTTTAGGGTGGAGGTGGCTACTTTTGTCTCTTATTCAAGTCTGAGAAATTCCCCAATTCAGCTATCTTTGAGAATCCATTTTCTTGTAGTATTTGTATATATATAACTTATTCGATTCATTCATACATTCCACAAAACTTGCTCATAAATTTCTAATAAAAGATTTGATATTATAAAAACTAAAGATTGCATGCCAAATATAATTTGCATATGTACAACCATTTGTTCAAAATATATTGTAATTTTCAAATTGCTTCAACTACACAATCAACACATAAAATCTGATATAATGTTTCCATCCACGCATCTGATTTATATGTTGCTTTCCAATCACATGAGATTGTGTCCTTTTTGCAGCACCATTTGCCACTAGAGGAGAGAACCATAGATCTCACAAATGTTGTCTCTTGGCATTCAACATCTCGACCTATGTCCAAATTTTTCCAAATTACATACTCTAAACTGCATCTAGAAAGAAAGGGAGGGATATATAGACATTATTGCATCACCTTACTCATGAGTGCATAAGCTTCATCTACTTGCCTACTCCTTGGGACTCCACCTGCTCCATCTTGTTCTTAATTTTCTCCAGCACAGACAACTTTGCTACTTAGATTTTCTTATAGAGATCAGAGCAAGGGTGTAACTTCAGAGATCACATCTCCATCCCACAAGGGACCGCCCCACAACGCCCCACAGCACATCCCTGCCATGTATTGGGAACACCTCCTGATGATGACATTATCAGTTCTGGTATTATCATCGGGAGATGTTCCCAATACACGATGGGGATGTGTTGTGGGTTGTTGTGGGGTGCCCCCTTGTGGGGCGGAGATGTGAACTCGTAAATTCAACCTCTTGAACCAGGCCTTCCTACCAGAGGATCAATGATAAAATGAAATAAATCTAAAACCATGCATAGGTATAGTTTTATAGATTTGAGGAGGAAAGCTACAAGGAATGGAGCCTATCAATCTTTTTCCATGGTTTTTTTTCCCTTTTTCCATGTTTGCATCAAAGAGAAGGAAGGAGAGTCATAAATGCTTAGGCTAAGTTTGGGAGTGCTTACAAGTTGAGATTTGAGAGTCATAATAGGTATGATCATATAAAAAATGACTACCAGTAAATTAACTCTAGCAGAGGGTCTTTGAAGATTTTCAAACTTCAGGATAAGTGTAAGAAAAATGGGAGAAAAATGAATGACAGTTTTGGGTAATACCCAATTAAATATAAAGAAAATATAAATTAAATCTATGAAAATATAATACACTGAACTTGTTAACTATATACTTTATATAATCATGTATATCATTCTTTTTGCATTTGAAAGCATAAAGGTTAGGCTAAAGGAGTACAAATGCAAAAGTATAGAGTGCAAAACCTTGTATTTTGTATTATTTTATATGTATTTGTAATTGGACTCTTTCCAAACTGAGCCTAGGAAGAATATAACTACATACATGTAGATAGGAGTGTAAATGGATCGAATTCGAATCGGATCAGGCAATATCCGAATTCGAATCCGATTAGAAAATCCAATATCCGAATTCAATTCGATATCCGACAGGTATTGAAAATTAATATTCGAATTCAAATCCGATTAAATATTCGAATATTCGATTTGATTTGAATTTGATTAATTAATTATTTTAGATAATTAATAAATATATAAAATAAATATTTTATTGATATAAAGTATATAAATTATTTATATAACTTAATTATTATATATAAAATTATTATATATAAGAATTAAATAATCTGTCAAATTCGACCGATTAGATATTCGAATTATCCGAATTCGATTCGGTTATATCGAATATCGAATTTGAAATCAAATTTTCGAATACCGTTGTTACCCTTACATGTAGAGTATAAAACCTTGTATTTTGTGTTATTTTGTATGTATTTATACTGTACATATTTGTATTATATTCTTTTCAAAACTGAGCCTTCATTTCATTTGAACAACAAATTATGGGACTACAATTCACATGATCAATGATCAATTTAATAAATAAGGACACCAAACCATATATAAGCATAAGTCACGGAATGACTGCTTGGCTATACTATGGGCAACAATATTAGCAATCCTATTATGTAATCCATCATCTAAATCTGAGGGTCCATTTGATTCATAGTCAGAATTGGAATTGGAATCGGAATCGAAATTGGAATGATCTATTCATATAATCTGTTTGGTTTAAACAAGAATTGAATAGCAATTGAAATCAACTGGAGTGGGATTTCATTCCCAAGGGAAAAGTAGGTGATAATCATTCCCTCAAATAGGGAAATGCTATTCCATAAAAAAATAGAAATGGGATTCCAATTCCACCCAACCAAACAGTTGGAATCACAATGCCCCATTCCCATTCCAATTCTAATTCCAAACCCCTATTCCTGCAAAGCAAACGGCCCTAAAATAATAGAAAGGATTTTCAAATTCCAGGGACAGATTTATCACCTTAGGTCACCTCACATCGTATCAGAATTCAGAAATAATGAAGCTACAAGGGTACACCATCCAAATTAAAGCAGTTGTCATACATTACTCATTTCTCAAAAGTAATCTATGGTTAGACCCGTCAGTGGACCACCATGATATTTTAGTCCAGCTATATAATCTACATATAGTGCCTGCTATCTCTTTCAGCCACAGTCGTTCAAAGGATCATGTGACGATGCCGCCTTTTTCTTCATTTTTTTTTTTTTTTTGTTCTTTTTTACATACTGCATTACAATCACGAGTGGAGTAAAGCATGGTAAATGTGGGGCCCACTCGCCATACTGCAAAGTATTGTGCATGTAGGGCCCAACATATACAGCGGAGCGAGCAGCATATCATAAGTGACACACCACTACCACTGAGAGATATCATTCCATAGGTTTGATCTCACATCTCTTATATGGAGGGGTGCCAAATTAAGGGTGCAAGTCGGATATGCTGGACTAGGTTTAGGCTCAACTTAAACCCAATTTTAAAACTTGATTCTTAGGCCAAGCACAGCCCAAGCCCAATTTCAAATCAAATTGTCCAATCCAAGCTGTTTCTRCACTGAAGTTTGATACAATCGCATCGGACTCAGGCCTAGGTTTGGCTTGGATTGGTCAATCAACTTACACTAAAGATATCCATATATCCTATATCCCACATGAATAAATACATGTCTAACATATATGTATATACATAGTTGGACCGAGCTCAAATTAGAATAAGACCAGGCTGCCTCAGATCAGGTTTGGGCTACCTAAGAGGTAATCCTGGGCTCAACCTAGGGAAATTCAAGCTCAATCAGTGTAAAATTGTGGAATAGGCCAGTTCAAGCCCAAATTGCACCTCTATACCAAATAACTATTTCGGTCACAGTTGGCAAGACATTTATTGGAATGTATGAAGAGTCGGTGCATTCCATCTGTCAATCAACATTTAAATTCTCACTTATAGTCTTAGGTCTTAACCATCTAAACGCTGCCCATTTCTTCACTCTCCCTCTCACCAAAGACGAAGAAGAAGATGAAGAAGAAAGAAATATTTGCAATTTGAAATTATTACGATGCCTTCTCTTATCAAATTAACTTCTTTTCTTTTTTCCTTTCCATTGAAGAATAGTCTACTAAATTTAACACACAAACCACATTTGTGATTTATGTATATGACTTTGATTAATACAATTAGCACATAAGCAGTAACCATCATTATCAAAAGAAGCAGTAAACAAATACCAAAACAATTGAGATCATGAGGAACCGGTTCTACAACGATAGATCTTGGAACATCCTCTGTTTTGAGGGTTTGATGGATTAGGAAGGCAACTCCCCGAGTACGATGTTCCCTTTGGACCACCACAAGCTGGTTGGTTTGGCTTCAAGGCACCGTAACCGATGGAATTAGACTGCGCAAGAAACCGGCGACTGATCTCCGATTCCATCAACACCTCCTCCTCTTCACTGCATTCTGCAATGGAGCCATTACATTGTCTGTACCTTTCACTGCTTTCTGCTGCAGACACTCTCACACATCCAGAGTAAAGGAGTTGAAGAAGTAGTAATGTTGCAAGGATGAAACCGAGGGATGATCTATTCGAAGAAGCTGCCATCATCTTGGTCTGAACCTGCATCTCCTCCCTCCTCTCTGTCTGTCTATGTGTGTCGGTATATAAAAGTCTTTGCAGATAAGGCACCTCACATGGTGGATGCCCGTTCATCCCCATTACTAGAGAAGGCCCACAGCCACTGTCTTGCTTCTGTTCGTGACATGTTTTCTTTCCTCCTTTTAATATAATAATGTTATTTGACAAACAGAGCCCACTGCCACCAACCACGCGTTTCTTCCAAATGACACAAATGCCCTCATCMTCATCAGAATCATTTGAATTTATAAACATGGTTGTTGAGATTTAAGAAGATATATTAAACATAAGCAAGATTGGTTTCTTTCTCTAGGACTGTGCTGGGCCAGCTTAAACTAGGGAGTATTGATACAAACAAGTTTTGCTGCGAATACATCTTGGTCCCTTTGGTTCGTGGGAATAGAGGAATTAGAATGGTTTTTTTGTTCTAATTATTTTGTTGGACGGAATTGGAATTCTTTTTTTATTTCTCCTGGTGGAATGGTATTCCCCTCATTTGAGGGAATAGCTATTCCTTCCCCTTCCCTTGAAATTGAGAATCAATATCCATTTCATCTGATTTTGATTTTCATGTGAAACAAATAGACAGGAGGAATAGACCATTCTGATTCTGATTCCAATGAATTTTGATTCTGACTGATTGTAAACCAAATGAACCCCTTAGCTTTCTTATCCTTTGGAGCCATAGAAAAAGCTTAGTTAGCATTGTCCGGTAGTTTATAAGAGAGAAGCAAATGACTAGTTAAGTGAATCCAAACCTCAAGCTATTACTTTACAACTTTGAAGGGGCAAAATCAATATTGTTTTTGCTGAAAATTCAGTTGGGGAGTACTACGATCGAAGTTTATCGGTATTTCGATTGGGTATTCTATGAGATTATTCTAGGTTAACTTAAATGAATCCTTTCAAAAACAATAGAGGGTGAGTAATTTCAACTCTCCTATCTTCTTGACTGTGATAATTTCTTCTATTTGACCGAGCACCTAGTAATTAATCAAATAAACTAAAAATCCTTGTAGTAATTAATCAAATAAACTAAAAATCTTTGTGATATTAGAGTATGACTTATATATAGAAATGACAATGGAAAGGAGCGGCCTGAGAGGGACCGAGTTTTGTATGCCCTGTCCTTGGTGTCAAATTCAAATACCCACCCTGTTGTGAGTGTGGATATATGTTTAGGCTGCGTTTGATTGCAGTGCAATTTTATTTGCACTAATACAAATGCATGCGAGTGTAAATGACAATAATGCAAATTCTTATTTAATTTTATTTTGAGTTTTATTTTATTCTGTTTCGTAACTTAATTTACTTCATTTGTAATATAATCTAATAAAATAAACTAAAATTTGAAACAAAATTTACACTCTAATCATTTACACTGTCGTGGTGTTGCATCAGTGCAAATTTATTTGCATTACAACCAAATACAGCTAAAGGATTTAAAAAGTAAGATGTCGATTTGAAATATAATATAGACGAGATATCGCAAAACAACACGAGTATCTCACACAACTTTTTGATGATGCGAGAAAATGATACCAAGAGTGTTCATCAAAAAGTAAACTCGTGGTGTCAATTGTGGTATCGCATTAGTGAAAACGTGATATTACTAGACCTAGTGAGGTTCGGTAGCAAAGGACCGTATAGGAAAGGAAACCTTGTAAGAGCAAGATCCTTGGATATACTTTGCATGTCATATGATAAGTGACCTCACCAGCATATGAGACATATCCAAAAGGACTTTATGTAAGGAAAAACCTCATAATCTCATGGGTGTTGATCTCGTGGAGTCTAAACTTAGTTGTAGTCCAGATAGATATTTTCTCGCGAAGCTTCTTTTTCTTTGGGTTTCTAGAGGTTTCTTCTCTATGAGAGAGTCTCCATCTTGAGATTTTCTCGAGTTTTTTCCCATCGTCTATCTTTTGTTATCCATCTTCCGTTATCGGTCACTTTTTAGGGTGGTTCCCCTCGGGGAGTTACCCTTCTCCCATTTCTTCTATTCCCATTCTCTCCCTCTCTTCTCCGTTCTTTTAGATTTTCTTCTCCCCTTCTTCCTTTCTCTCATTCCCTCTCCTTGATTAACTTGTTCCACTCTTCGTTCTCTCCTCTCACTCGTTCTTCTCCATTATTATTTGTGTTTTTAATTTTCCTTTTATTCTTTTGTACAGGGGTTTTGGTACAACAGGATGATTCTTCCTTGATTAATTTAGTGTTGGGTGATGAGAATAAAAATTATCATATTTTTATCCCTTAATATTCAGTTTTTTGTACTTATTTAGGGCCTAATTGGACTCATTATTCTTGTATTTTGATTTAGTGCACGAAAGAAGGCGTTAGGTGAAAAACAAGGTTAATCAGGTAATTTTGCATAGTTTCGACGCTGTGTGGTAATTTGGGCATAACTCTCACATCCGAACTCCGATTGAGATGATTCAAGATGCATTGGAAAGATAAGGAAAATMTATACAACTTTCATGTTTTGAGTGTGTATAGAGTCGGACTGTATCGAGGTCAAAAGCGGGCCCGAAGTCTAAGCAAATTCGTAGAGAAACCCAATTCGCAGCAGAAGCCCAGTTCACAGAGAAGCCTTGCAGTGGCCCAATTCGTTGACAAAGCCCAATACAAATTTAGCATGCAAGAATAAGAATCATCAAAGAGTCCTATCAGATTCAATTTTCTGTTGTATTTCTAGAAAGATAAGAGAGATTAAAATTACCAGTTAAAAGATAGGAATAGATTAGATCTAATCTAGGCATTATCTTTTAGAGAACTGAACTCCCAATGGAGAAAGAACTCCTTAGAGGAGCAGGAGACAACTCCCTCCTAAGTCTATATAAAGGGGGCAGGCTAGTACCCAAGGAAACCATCAAATCCTCCAAGAGAGCTTCAACATTCGAAGAGAGCAATCAGTAACCAAGGAGGAAGAAGCAGAGTTCGCCCCCTCTCATCTGGAAGCTGCGATTTCATCATGAAGTGTCAGTAAGGTTTTATTTTCTGGTTGAAGGGTTAGGTAAGCTTTGATTCTTTAACATTGTGAGATCTAATTGATTTTATTTTAGTTCATTGTTTATGGGTATTCATATGTTTTCTGTGATTCCTGTAAAGATTATTTTTATTGATTAAGCAAGAAGGGCCCCTTTCTCATTCAATGAGAATAATCTATGGCCGATTGAACACCCAATTTCGTATATGCTTGGTAGGTTTAATCATTGTAGCAACTAACATAAATTGATTGCAAAAAATTTTTCGATCTATGTTAGGAAAATATATGATCTGGTTTAAACGGTCCGAGCTTGTGAGATTGGTGACCAGAATTAGGTCTCTCCCCTCTTAATGCTATTAATAGATTAAATCCTAAGAGCTTGTTTAGGACTGTCTATTAATAAGAGAAGCAATCAAAGAGCTTGTTTTGGTTKYYRADWAAYMYGAGTAGAGGCTGGCTGTTAGAGCTTGTTAATGGCTATAACCAATTTATTTGTAAACATATGAATTTATCCTTGCATCAAGGATCAATGATAAGAATCAAAGTTGAACTTGTCCCTTCAATTATAAGCTATCGCCCATCGATTTGATCTTTGCTTTCTGTTATTTTCTTTTATTTCATCTTATTTTCCTTACTTTCACAACCCCCTACTTTGTTTACTTGGAAATAAATCCACCCAATCCTTGTAGAGACTACCTTATTCATCACTATATACAAAATACTTAATTTGAGCAAGACTTTTTACCTTTGGTTGGATTCGAAACCCACCAAATTTTGGCTTCGTTGCCGGGGATTGGTGTCCTAAGTAGATTTATTTCCTTTTGCTTGGTTTATGCCTCCTTCTCGTATAGGTTAACTCCATTACGATCCCGATATCGAAAACACAGTTCGCCGCTTGAGGAAAGAAGCCAAGCAACGTCGCAACCAATCATCATCACTCCCATCTCCCGGGGTGAAGTCGGTTGCAGAGATAGTTGAGCTATCTAACCACCCTAAAGAAAAAGTCATGGCCAACATCAACAAGAGAACTCTTAGAGAGCTAGCCGCACCAGATCTGCACCAACAACCACTCTGCATCGAATATGCAGATCTAGCGGTACCTTTCGAACTCAAATCTGGTCTTATCCACTTACTTCCTACTTTTTGTGGACTTTCAGGTGAAGATCCCCACAAACACTTAAAATAATTCCATGTAGTATGCTTAAGTATGAAACCTCAAGGTGTTACCGAGGAACAGATCAAGCTACGTACCTTTCTTTTCTYATTAGCTGATAAAGCTAATGATTGGCTTTACTACTTACCCTTCGGTTCTATCACCACATGGAATGAGATGAAAAAGAAATTTCTTAAAAAGTTCTTCCCTGCCTCCCAAGCTGCTAACATCAGAAAGGAGATCTGTGGTATAAGACAATTCAGTGGAGAAACTCTCTACGAGTATTGGGAGAGATTTAAGCAACTCTGTGCCAGTTGTCTGCAACATCAGATTCCAGACCAGCTCCTTATCCAATATTTCTACGAAGGATTATTGCCGATGGATAGGAGTATGATTGATGCAGCAAGCGGAGGTGTGTTGGTGAACAAAACTCCTACCCAAGCAAGAGAATTAATCTCGAACATGGCAGCCAATCCACAATAGTTCGACATTAGACAGGAGTCCATTCCAAGGAGGGTCAATGAGGTAAGCACTTCTTCCATCGATCAAAGATTAGATACTCTTACCTCTCTTGTGGAAAAATTGGTGGTAGGGTCACGTACAGCAAGCAAAGAAATGTGGCATTTGTTCAACTATGGGTCATCCAACCGACATGTGCCCTACACTTCAAGATGAACCCTATGAACAAGCCAATGCTGTTGGAGGCTTCCCACAAAAGAGATACGATCCCTATTCAAACACCTACAATGCAGGATGGASGGATCATCCTAATCTTAGCTATGGAGCCAAGCCCTTCGGCTTCCAACAACAACATCAATCTAGACCACCGGCCCCATAATATTCATCTTCCAAACCAGGTATGTCCCTGGATGAAATTGTTAAGGCACTTGCAACTAACACTCAACAATTTCAATTGGAGACAAGGACAAGCATCCAAAACCTGGAGAATCAGGTGAGCCAATTGG